ACTGATAGGGAGATCTTGATGATCATACGAGTCTCGTGAATTCGATTAAGCAAGCAGATGTTGTGATATCTACGGTTGGACACTCGCTTTTGGAACATCAAGACAAGATCATAGCTGCCATTAAGGAAGCTGGTAATGTTAAGGTAAAATAAAAATCCCCAACTGAATAGTAGTATGTTGTTTACTTTATTTGATTTGATGTGAGAACAGTTTAATTTCATTACATGTTTAACAATGTCTTTGCTGAATTTAGTTTTGATCTGAATATTATTGCACCACACTAATTGCACAACATTTGTGTGGGTTTCATGTTGCTGATATGTATAGAATGGTGTGCCCTCTAAAATTGTTTTATTGATTTAATGCACCGGTTTCATATCTATCTCCCCAGAGGTTCTTTCCCTCGGAGTTTGGAAATGACGTAGATCATGCTCAAAGCGTTGTTGAACCTGCCAAATCTGTTGTCTATGCTACAAAGGCAAGAATCCGCAGAATAATCGAGGCCGAAGGGATCCCATACACTTATGTCTCTGGCAACTTCCTTGCTGGCTTCTTCCTCCCAACTTTAGCTCAGCTCGGTGCTACTTCTGCTCCACGGGATAAAGTCATCATTTTGGGTGATGGAAACCCCAAAGGTAAGAGATCCCTTCGTTCGTTTATCTTAATGCAAAAATCAAGATCCAAATTCTCTAAAGATCCACCGAAGTGATATGATCATCTTGTCTAAGCGAACCAAAGTTGGTCTTTGTTAGAATCTTATAACATGAATCAAAGGATGTTTTTGCAGGTTTCTTGTCTCTCTTCTTGTGTTTTGAATTTTGGTGATATTTTGCAGCTGTGTTCAACAAGGAAGAAGACATTGCGACTTACACAATCAAAGCCATAGATGATCCAAGAACTCTGAACAAGACCTTATACATTAGGCCACCGTTGAACACTTACTCATTCAATGATCTTGTCTCGCTTTGGGAGAAAAAGATAGGAAAAACGCTCGAAAGAATCTACGTTCCAGAAGAACAACTCCTCAACCAGATCAAAGGTTTTGATCCAAAAACAT